GAAAATATCGATTTCGCATTCAAGAAGAATTATAGAAGATGCCATATCTATTCTACATAATATCTTAGTGGAGAAGTTTGTACCTAAAATACATTATAAGGATAAAAATCTAAAAATTAATTAACATGTAATTTGATTAAATGAATAATATACAACTGTCAGCTGAAAAGTGTTCCGTGGCCAAAAAGTTTGAGAAATGCTGATCTATAAGTGTAATAGCCAAATGTCCATCTTTCAATCTCTGTATACCTGGAACGGTTAATTGCAGACAAACTGAGAAAAAGCTTAAAACAAAAATGTTTCTTTTTGTGAGGGAATTTCACACACACACACACACAAAAAAAAAAACACCACAAAAAACGGGCCTTCCTCTGTCAATTAACTTAAAGAAATATTTCGAAGATAGGAGCATGAACTGAAAATAAAAGGGTAAATGTAAAAAATGTTTTGATAAAAAATTAGGAAATAGGAATGGGAGTACCAAAAATAAGGAAACAAGGTAGAAATAGGCGGGATAACATTACAACACATAGCGGTTTTGACACGGTGCAACCTCTAAAAGTTGGTATGGCCATCGTTCAGACCATTCTTACTTCATGTGCTTTTTGTAACTTGGTAATTGTTCAAATTATGCGAAAAGTGTATATAGCTAAATTTCCCTCTTGCAAATTTTTTTCTTCAGCAACCAAGTACAGAAACATGTATGTAATCAAATTACGTGACCCTAACGAAATGCATGACATCATAAGGGGGTGTTTGATATCAGAAGTGAGACAGTATACTCTAATAGCCATACTTTGCTTATGGGAGATATTATAGCTATCTGACTGATAGTTGGTGGGCCAAAAAAAATTGTATCAAAACCGCCGATTTTTTAAATTATAAAATTTGTGGAGTATTTAGAAAGGATTAGCTACTGATAAAACTAAAGTATATTATTAGATCAAAGTAAAACATAAGTGGGCAGAATGATGGCCACACCCACTCTGAGGTTGCAAAAATCACCAAGTGTTGTAGTGTTATCCTGCTCATTCCTACCTTTAAAGATTTTGATATATGAATGAAATTCTCTAAGATACTATCTAGTCAAGAATAATCAACAACATCAGTAGAAACTTTTTGGTGAATATTATTTCTTCTTTTTGTATAACAGTGACAGTGACCCCCCCCCCCCAAAAAAAAACAACAAAACAACAACAATAAACAAACAGTGATTACACTGTTCCTTTTAATAATATCGGTACTACATTTTTGGTGCATCAGTGACATTTTCTTAGTTATCCAATAATGACTATAGTGTTTCTTAATAACATTCAGTATGAATTTTTGATTTATCAATGGCATTTTAGTTTTGGTTACTAAATCAGTGAAAACAGTTTTTCTCAACATGTATCACTTATAATTTCCATGATCACAAGTGGCTGTGTGAAAGAGCCATCCTGGCACCAAAGAATGGTGCATTCAATACAACAAATAGAGTGCTTATCTCTGAGTTACCTGGACAAATGCAAAAATACGAGTCAATTGACACTATTCCAGACACTAATGTGGCTCTTAATTACCAAACAGAATTCCTCAATTCTCTGGTACCACCACACAATCTAGAGCTCAAAATTGGTACACCCATAATTCTTCTTTGGAATATGGACTCACCAACACCCTGCAATGGAATAAGTTTGGCTGTCAAGAAGCTGTTGACACATATAATTGAGGCTACAATCATGAATGTTCATGGAGCAGGTCAGGATGTTTTCATTCCATGCATTCCAATCATCCCAACTGACCTGCCATTTCAATTCAAACACATTCAGTTCCCAGTTCAGCTTGGCTTTGCCATGACCATCAATAAGGCACAGGGACAATCACTCAAGGTTGTTGGTCTCAACCTGCAAAGCTCATGCTTTTCACATGGCCAGCTTTATGTTGGGTGCTCCTGGGTTGGTGATAGTAAGAATCTTTTCATCTTAGCAGCAGATGGGAAAACAACCAATATTGTCTATCCTGAAGCACTGCAATGGTAAAAAATTGTAATAGATTCTGATAAAATATGATAGAAATTTGTGATATCAAGTACAAGTGTGAAATATTTATTGCAATGATAAAGTTCTTTGATAATAAATAATTCTTAATTTACTGTACTTTCTTTACTCTTTTTTCATGCTTCTGGGAATTAAAAATATTTGAAATATTTTGACTGTTCTTCTATGCTAAAATACACTAACCTACCAAAAGGCATGGGACACACCTCTGACTGCAAGAAAATGGGTGTGACGATGAAATATGCAAATAGTTTGGCCTATAAAGATGATCAACAGTTTGCTCAGAAGTCATTTCGAATTTGTACAGTGAAAAATGAGAACACAGAAAGAGCACTAACAGAGTTTCCGAGGGGAAGGATAGTTGAATGCCATTTAGGGTAAATGTCTGTACAAATAAACCTTCCCAACATGCTGTATAAATGGAATTCCACAGGTGACAATGAGCCCAAGAAATGATCATATAGGCGTAAAATACTGACTGACAGGAGCCGAAGCTTCTTGAGAAGGCTGATTACCTTGTCTTAGAGAATCTGTGTTTGGAGATGGAAGCAGCCACAGGCAATCCAATAAGTGTTTCCATGACATTCGAGAGCTGCATGCCATGAATTTTCACAGAAGAGCTGCAGCCCAGAAGCCATTGATAACAAAAACAAATGCACACCATCGACTTGGCATGGGGCAAGGCACACAGAACCTGGATCGTGGATCAATGGAGATCGGTTCTGTGGAGCAACAAGTTATGCTACATACTTTTTCAGTTTGATGGACATTCTTGGTATGGAGGATGCCTAAAGAATGCATATTACCTGAGGGTGTTGTCCCAACAGTGACGTTTGGAGGTAGCAGTATCATGGTCTGGGTGTGCTTCTCGGGGTATGAACTAGATCCACTGGTTGCAGTGCATGGATACATTAACACTGAGTTAACATTGATGTTCTGAACAATTCTGTGTGCTCTTCATTGTGGCAATTTTATGGTAGCCACCCTTAAACCTTCCAACATGATAACGTTCCAAGAAAATAACATCAGAACATTGCAGTGGCCAGCGCAGAACCCTGACATGAACCTGATAGAACATCTTTGGGATGAATTGGAATGCAGAATTAGGGTAAGACCAAAATGATCCTCTACCAGCTTTCTACCAGAAATTAATAGACAGTCTTCTACAATGCATTGAAGCAGTCATTATGGCCAAAGACGGGCCAACACGCTATTACTTTCTTGGAATAAGACACATATTATTCATAACTACCTTTGTCCAATGACTTTTGGTATGATAGTATAAGTTCAGAATACTCATACTGATATATCATCTAGAATATATCAACCTAATAATCAGAGCAAAGCCAGGTACTTTCGCAACCCCCTTGCACCCCGTCACTAAAATAGTAATGGGCAGACAATAAACGAACTATTCTATCCGGATAAATTCATTTTTGCTTTTATTACTTCTCTTATTTCGAGAAATCAAGCGTGACGTGATGCGAAACACACTGGCTTTTATATAAGTTAGATAACGTGACGTATAAAGGCATCTATAATTATTTTATCATCATCGTACCTTTGCAACTTTTTATATTTCTGGGAAATAAAAATGTTTAAAATATTTCTGACTGTTCTTTTATGCTAAAATAAGTTCAGAATACATAGTCATCTAGAATATATCAACCTAATAACCCGAGCGTTTTGGTAGTAATGCGTTCCAACAATGGCTTTTATGTCATGTTTCTTAGCAACAAAAGTATATAGGTTATAGTTTTATGATAAAATGGGTTCAGAATACACACATTATCAACCTAATAAATAAAACAACCCATCAAACACACACGAAAAACAACTAAACAGAACTTTGTTACAAATGAAAAAAAATAATTTAATTACTGATGATCTTTATTTTTATCTACGTAAAACTGATTCATGCACACAACAACTCTATGGCATTCCTAAACCACACAAACAGGATTGCCCCCTACGACCTATACTGTGCAATTATGATTCCTTCAACTACAACCTTGGCAAATACATAGCCCGGGCTCTCACACCATATGTAACATCTGCAGGTTCATTTTCTAAAGATGCCTTCAATTTCAAATATACACTAGACCAACTAAATTCGAAAGCCTTAATGGCTAGTTTTGATGTCGTGTCACTTTTCACCGAAGTCCCTGCCAATAAAGCTTGTAATATTGCACTCGACCTCTACATTAATAACCCCAACAAGGTAATCCATATCCCCAGCACACTTTTTGTTTCTCTCTTAGAATTTACAACAACTAAAACCAACTTCATTTTCTATTTCTTAAAATAGATGGTTTAAGTATGGGCAATCCTGTTTCGCCCGTTCTTGCCAATATATTTATGACCCAGATCGAAACACAAGCCATACATTCTGCGCTTCATCCCCCACTATACTGGTACAAGATTTGTCGATGACACTTTTGCTGGTTTCACTTCTACAGAACACACACTAACTTTCTTTGAACACATAAATTCCATTCATCCCAACATCATATTTACCATAGAACAAGAAAACAATAAACAGTTATCTTTTGTTAACCTCAACATTATTAGATAGGACACACAGTTTAAAACCAAAATTCACCATAAGAACACACACACCGACCTCTACATCCCCTGGAATTCCGCTCATGACACCACACAAAAAATCAACGCACTCAAAAACCTCATAATCACAACCACAAGACTCTGTTCAATGGACTACATAAATGAAGAAATCAACCCCATAAAACATTCCTTCATTCACACCAATAAATTCCCACCAGCTATAGTTAAAAACTCTCCAACATTCCCCACAACAAAACTCAACCCACGAACAAAACTGACACAAACAAACCCAACAAAGTACATTACACTGCAGTTTACCTTTTGTTCCTGAAACCAGCATCTAGAATTATCCACACTTGGACAAAACTAGCCATTAAACACAATATTCCTGTCAACGTCAAATTCTCACAAAAACCCGGCTCTAAATTAAAATCTTGACTAAACAAAAATTATTTAGAATCACACAATACCAACGTCATTTACAAAATAACATGCAATAACTGCCCATAATTCTATATCAAAGAAACAGGAAGTAAACTGGAAACCAGATTCACAAAACACAATAAAAAAATCGACCATTGTTTTCCACCATCGCAACTCAAAAAACCCTATTATATCTATTAAAAACAGTAATTTTAAACAATGAACCAAACATAAACAAACGAAAAATCAAGGAATCCATCTTAATTGAACAAAACAACCCTACTCTAAACCAACACCCTGGGATGCCAAGATATATCTTCTAACTCGTGAAACAGTATCCGGTCATGTAACCTCTTTTGATGACGAGGAACCCACTTTGAGACTAATAATGGTT